TTTCTGCGCAGTTTTCCAAAATACAGAAGCCCCGATGCTTACTTTGATCTTTTTTATCACCGATTGTTCCGTCGTTGCGTTTCTTCTCGCCGTTAATGTAACTACCAACTTCTCCATTCTCTGTTTTGCCTTCTATCGCCCACATAACTCCATATAGAAGCGGTTCAGACGAACCCTCCCACTACGCTGATGGCTTTGTTTCTTTTAGCACTACCTGGTTGCCAGTACATAATTCGCTTCGTCCATTTGTTGTTCCTCATTGTTTCCGTATGACCAGCCCAGTTCTTCTTGGCATGCACTGCCTTGACAATATCATTCACATCAGCCCGAAAGTGCACTCTTTCTCCGGATTTGTGCTATAACTTGCTGCCATCGTCTTTAATTCGTCGCATACCGCTTACTTTTTTTTTTTTTTTTTCATTTATCATAGATATCTGACAATAAAATCAAAATTGCTATTTTTTTATTTGGAAAACAATTAGTATTTAAAGCGGGCTTCAAGTTTTTGATAAAAGAAAAAAGACGAAATTTCTGAAAGTATGCAATTTTTTCTAAATTTGCGTCGAGTTCTTGTAGTTACCGAAGGTTACTGAAACGAAGTAATGTCTTATTTTCTTTTCTTCTACAGATGGTGCCTAATTTGGTGCGCATATTGAAAAATCTTCTTATGAGCGGTTACTCGCCGGAGCATGATGTTACGGGTATCAGCGATCCATTCCTTCAGGTACAGTTTGGAAATATCCAGCATTTTCTGTTCATGAAGTTTCATATGTTTTATGTGCTGCTAGGCCTGAAAGATTGTTTCGCCATTTATACCCGTAAAAGGCCAGAAGATTGCTTGCCTATCGTCTAAGCCGGGCAGAACCAGGTCTCTCGTTTTGGCCTGTTTTTTAAATTTTTGCTGGATATGATTATAAAAAACGTAGAGAAAAACAGTAAAATAATAAAGAATATGAAATGCGTGTGTATAAAGGGAATCCCAGCTGTAAGTGGTATTTAAATATAATGTGCTTAATTACTTCAGATCAAAATTCTAAAATTATTGCGCATTTTGGGTCGCGATGATGCAAAAGCAAGCGAAGAAATGAACGATATTTTGGCACAGGTGAGATCCGTCTTTGCTTTGTGTCTTTCATCGTCTGGTTGGCGCTTTGAGGAGAGAAGTATTGAATTATTCTAGTTTTTATTTATAAGAATTAGAATAATCCAATGCTTCAGTGAGGTGTAAGTGAAGAATTTGAGGTGTAAGTGTGCTGAAAATGTAAAATTTATATTTTACAATATTCCAGGGATGTAAGTTTACTAAGAATTCAAAAATCGCGAAAATAGTCGGTGTGGGCACATCGTTTTTTTGATGCTGCTGGATTCCTTCATTGGGCCGGACACAGCTAGTGCCTGACCGTTTGGTTCAGGTCTGCGCAGCTCAATTTCTATATGTGCCACCTCTTTAAGAACCACTGTCCGCTTCGTGGATATCGCTCCAACTAATTAGTTGGATTTAGTTTCTCGCATAGTCGCAGTGATATGCCAAATGCTGGATGTGAAATTACTTTTCATTACCTCTACAGGAAGGGCCATTTTCATACCTTTGTGCATTGCTTGTTGAGATCCTGATTTTCGCGCAGTGT